CAGTTTTATATAGTATATAAACTGTTTTTAAATCATTGTTTTTGTGACCAAAAAAAAAATAAAATAAATAAAAAACATCACCTCTTCAGCCCACGGCTGTATAGCTCCACCCATTCACAATCATTCAAACTGTGTTTAGTAATTTCCACAAGAAAGAGTTTAAAGACAAATGTTTACATTTATTTTAGTCAATAAATGTCAGCTTATCATCTTGATATTTATTTTATGATAACTCAAAACAGACGGCGGAGGATGAGCCCCACAGAATGAGTGGTGAGTGAAATCTAGCAACTCCTGAGAGGCGCTGTGGAACGTGTGATCTTTCGGACGAATGCCCAGGTGTTTGGTGTGGAGTCCACTCTCTCCTCATCCTCACCCTGTCCTTCCCAGTAAGATGCATAATTACAATTCAGATTTGATTTTTTTCCTGTTCAATCAGAGTTTGTTTAGAAATGTCTGGATATATTCATGAATATGGAAATATCATGAAGCTGAGGTAACAATTTACAAACTTTAAACCAGCTAGACCAGACCAGCTCGTGGAACCTTTGGTTTTTACAATATAGAAATACATCAATATCCTCTTTAAAAATAAGCCAGTGTTACAGCATCTAAGAATTTAAGTACCTTAATTTTCCATGTGTTGCAGCTCAACTGCCTTCTGTGCTTATTCATCACACATTAGTAATCAGTGGTCCATTGACCGTTTCACTGGCTTTTATCAAAATTATGCTGCACCAAACCTCCACACAGAACAGTTTAAGTGGGACAAACAGTCAATCTGTTAACACAGCTAAGGATTAAAAATCAAATCAACAGTAATGATTTTACAAATCATTTCACAAATCAAGGTCACTGCTTAATGATTTTTTAATTATAACACAGTCAATAATGTCACACAGAATGTAATTAGTGATTATGATAAACTATTAATAAATAAATATAGCTTAATTGCATTAAACATACTGTGCATTTATGAAGAATGGTCTCATTAGGTATGCTTTTATGCTGTACATTGCTTCTGTACCAGCATCAAATCCTGTAAATTCTGGAGTCTTGAGGAACCATCGAGCTGAAATTAATGCCCTGCAGGAAAAGATTATGTCAAGAGTCCAAAACATTGGAAAGGAGATGCTTTAAGATGACTTTTAGCCTGCTGGAGCACCTTGTACGTGTAAAATCGAGGCTGTCAAAGAGATCACAAATGAGGTCCTAACAGCAAAGGCATCAAAGGCAATTTCGTGGAATCTTCTCAGGTACTCACTGATGGTGAAGTTAGAGAAGAAGGAACAAAGGCAGAGAAGTCGCTCAGCACTTCCTCAGGTGAAGCTGATGAAGAGCTCATGACAGATATGGAATGGGAGCACCTTTAATGTGCATTTGAGTGCTGGATCCTGTCTTCAGGCCTTAAAATGAGGGTGACACTCTGGCTGTGGTATACACTATTATTATTATTATTATTAGTAGTAGTAGTAGTAGTAGTAGTAGTATAGTAGTTAGCATCGTGCAAAATTAATGCCTTAATCATCACACACTTATATTAAACTGCTTCAAGTTTTTAAGTCATCTCAAGTAGACATGCTTATATGATTTATGACCTACTGTTTTCTGTTGAAAATGTACAGAAGCTAAATAAAGTGTATAACATTAATAGCAGCCACTTTGAAGTCGACACTATATCTGTGCCTTTGTCTTTGTTGTCTTTTTTGCAGGTTCTATTCAGTTGTCTTTGCTGAAATTCACAGCATAGTGGGAGTAGAGCACCGCAGGACTAAAGACCACCCTTTAGTTATATTACTTATTCCTGAAAAGGTGCAAAGATTCATGAAATGTATTAGAAGCATTTCTAATGCTGTGATCCTGGACACTCATATGGAGTAACTTCACTAAATTAGTGTTTATTAACATGCTTAATAAGAAAACACAAATGATACGTTAATCATCTGGCATCCTATGATATTTTCCTATCCTAGCAAAAAGGGCTCTATATAGTACCAAAAAAGGGTTCTTTGGCTTGTAACAATAGTGGAACCCTTTTTTTTTCAAAAAGGTTCTATATAGAACCATCTACAACACATTCTCCATCAATCTGAGAAACACTTTCATGATGCAAAGAACCCTTTAATCATGCAAAGGGTTCTTTGGCTGTTTATGGTTCTATATAGAACAATTTTCTTTACTAAAGAACCTTTAAAGAACAATCTTTTTTAATGGTGTAAATCAATAGACCTTGTGATGACCTGGATGATCTAGTGGTGTGATTTTAATGATTGAGTCTGCTCTTTTAGCTGCACAGAATGGTATGACTTTCATATCTGAAGAGACTATTTTTGTTAGTTAATTAATTAATTAATTTAGCTAAATTAAAACAAGAGAAATACTCAGACCCCATGATGCTCTTGATGAAAATGTTAATCACATGCAGTACATTTTTGATTGTCTGACTTGTTCAGTACAGCATTTAAATTCTAACAATAAATCTAATAATAATAACTTCGGCATGTCAGCTCTCACCTGTGTGTGTGTGATAGACAGTATGAGCACAAGTGTCCAGTTGCACTCTTTCCTGTTATGACAATGGTGCCTCACATTGTGTAGTTTCTTACTGTTTTTACATTTCATAGTTTTTTCTAACAAACACTATGCAAAATAGTGAAATGTTAATGTTAATTTGAAAGTACAGTGCGATTTTAAAGTTTTGAGAGCATATATATATATACAATGAGCGTAGAAACAAGGAGGCGGTCATAATGTTATATGTGGTGGTGGTGTGTTAGTGTGTATTGCGTTGGTCTGAGTGGATCAGACACTGCAGTGCTGCTGGAGTTTTTAAACACTGTGTCCACTCACTGTCCACTCTATTAGACACTGCTACCTTGTCAGTCCTCCTTGTAGATGTAAAGTCAGAGACGATAGCTCATCTGCTGCTGCACAGTTTTTGTTGGTCATCCTCTAGTCCTTCATCAGTGGTCACAGGACGCTGCCCACAGGACGCTGTTGGCTGGATATTTTTGTTGGTGGACTATTCTCAGTCCAGCAGTGACACTGAGGTGTTTAAAAACTCCAGCAGTGTCTGATCCACTCGTACCACTAACTGTTGTGTGTGTGTGTGTGTGTGTGTATATATATAATGTATAATGTATATATAATGCTCTGACTTCAGTTCATGAAGGCCTTGCTAATACGCTTATGTGCTGAATCAGGTGTGTTCAATGAATCAGTGTGCTGAAGTCTGCCGTGTTTTGGCCTGAAGCCTGACACTTGTGCTCTAGGGTACAAGTGGTCCCAAACCATGGCAGAAAATACCCCCACTGCATAACAGAACCTTGGGACTCCCAAGCATTCAGGCCCGTACGGCTCTCTCTTAGTTTCAGTTTCTCAGTTACTTTGGGGTTAGTTGTCCTTCTCTTTTTCCTTACATATTGCACTAATACACAAGCCTCACGTTCATTGAGTGTATGCCTTTGACTACAATTTCCAGCCTAATTTATCTTTCCCATAGATCAAAATGCAAATGTCACTGCTGTTCCTATTGAAACATTAGTCAGTC